GCGGGCGGGCGGGGTGGCGGCGGGAGGCGCTCGGGGCCGCTGCCTGAGCTCCGCTCCTCCATGGCTCTGCCCGGACCCCCCGAGCCGCCCCGCGGCGCGCCCCGCAAGGTGCCCAGCCTGCTGGAGATGGGGGCGCTGTGCCTGGACTCGGAGATCATCCTGGGCTTCACCAGCCACCTTCTGCGGCGGCGAGGCAAGGTGAGCGGTGGCGGGCCGGGCTGGCAGCGGCGCTGTCCCGCGACTTTGCAGAGCGAGGAGCAGGCGATGGGTCCCGCGGCTCTGGCAGGGACTCGCGGCCGCACTTTCCCGGGTCGGTGCTGCCCGCATCTCCCTCTCCGGTGAGGGCTGCGCGCGGCCCGGAGCAAGGCGAGACGAGGTAGGCTGCCGAGGCGCAGAGCGCGGCGCGGGGGACCCGGGCTCACCTAGTGGGCGTTGGGGTGAGCAAGGCAGGGGATCCCGAGTCCCCGAGGCGACGCCGGCTCTCGCGTGCAACCCTGCCTCCGAGGGGTTGCGTCTCGGCCCCCTCGGGGAGCCTGGATGTAGCAAGGGTACGCGTGCTTTGCGAAGCGCCGCGGCGCACCGGGAGCTGAAGTTGCGGGTGTGGCTGAAATAGGCGCAGGACAGAGCCCCGGAGGCGTGGCTGGGGTGCCTGTGAGGCAGGAAATGGAGGGGATGTGAGCCGCGCTTCCTGGGTCCCCACTAGGTTCCCAGGGCAGAGGAGGGTGGGCCTGCATCCCGGTGTGGGCCGACGCCCTCCTTCGCGAGGGTGTATGAGCTCGGGGAGGAGTTCTCAGCTCCCGGCTGGGTGGAAAGCAGCTGCAGGCTTTGGGCGTGCAGTGTGAGAGTGGGGAGCTGCTGCTCACCTTATTCCTCGTTCCCTAACTCGGGTGCGAACCGCTCGGGTCGTAGACGACCTAGAAAGCCAGGAGATCCTACACCCCATTTCGTGGGACGCGTGGAGTGGAGGGCTGACCTACTACAGGAGTGGGAGAAAAGGAAAGGAAGGGTCGCTTTGAGGATCTTGAGTCCGTGGGAAGGTATTTCAGGGAGCGGGGAGCCGTGGGCCGGGGTCTCCAGCCGGATCGCTAGGGATCTGCGCTTCTGGACCCCTGTGCGCCACGCGAAGCGCCCAGTCCTTGGCGCTGGAAGCCGTGCTCATAGCGGCGGGCAGGGGGCGCTTGCGTTGCAGAGAGCAGGTCGCCTGGCCTGATTCGCGTGTCTGGGGTTTTGCGGTGACCCGGAGCCCAGGGCCCAAGCCGCCGCGAACTCCAATGGCGGTGACACTGGAGGCCAGACTCACTGAGGCGGGAGCAACTGGTCGCTGGGGCGGGGGCGACCTCCCAACCAGAGACAAACAGGCAATTAATTCCGGAGCTAGCTCCCATCTGCCAAGCTCGCTGACAACAGGTCCTGCGCGCACCTCCCGGGCCTCTGCTTCCTGAGCGCGCATCGCTCACACCCACGTTGGGGCAGAGGCGCGCGGCTGCCAAGGCACGCGTAGCCGCTCTCGGACCGCAGAGACAGAACCAGCGCGGGCACTGCACTTGGGAGGCGCAGATCACGCGACACTCACCCACGCAAGACAGACCCAAGGGGTGGCTGCCACACATGGAACTCCCGGGGTGTACTGTGAAAGAGACTGGGGATTCAGGCCCAGCCTTGTCCTCGTTCTACCTTGCGGTGTGACCTTGGGCCAAACCTACCTGCGCGGCCTCAGTTTCACCGCCCGCAAAATGAGGAGCGGGTGGGCGTCTCCCAGGAGTGGAGCAGAGGCGCATGCGCGCCTGTAACTTGCGTCTGCCCGGCCCCCGCCACCCCTCCCCCGGCAGACACTTAGCGAGTTAGGGTCCTCGGAGTGGGAGGGCCGCGGGAAGGCTGGATCCGGCCCCGCCGGTGAGGTGGGGTGGGGGCGGCACTCCGGTTCCCCGCCCCGCGCCCCGCCCCCGACCAGCCCCGGAGCGCGTCGGCCGCGGCCACCGCGCGCTCTCCGCCGCTCGCCCGCGCCACCAACTTCCGAGCTCCGCGCTCGGCCATGGGGGCGTCTCCTGGACGGATCACGTAGCCACGGCGCCCCGGAGCCCGCTCTTCCTCTCCTGCGGCCCGGCCATGGGCGGCCGCGGCGTCCCGCAGTGTGTGGCGGCTCCCGGGGTACGCGGGGCCGGGCGCGCTGCGAAATTGGCGGGTGCTGCTTTAGAAGCCCGGGGCTCTGTGCATACTCTCGGCGTGCGCGGCAGCCTCTGCACCCAGGAGGCCTGCTGTGCAAGGGGAGAGGGCGCCAGATCCACGCAGGGCTCTAACTTTGGCGAGAGCGTCGCTCTGGGGCTCTGCTCGCTGGGGCCCGGCTTGCTGCGTCCCAGTGTGGTAGCTCCTGGCGGCCGGGCTCACTGTCCCCTTGCACTCCCACCCCCGCAGGCGGCTGAGAGTGGCCTAGCCCGCGAGCAGCTACCGCTGTTGGAGGTGTCCCCGCACAAGAGGCTGCCTGCGGGGCCCGAGCCAAACCCATGCGGCAGCCGCCCTGCGCCTGAGGGCGCCGGAGCCGGGGCAGAGCAGGGGCATTCGGCCGGTGGGGGCAGCTGGTGCCGCCACTGCCACACGAAGCTGGCGGAGCTCAAGCGGCAGGCGTGGAAGCTGGTCAGCGGGCCCGGAACTCCCCTCCGGGTAAGTAACCCCACTCCAGGGCCCAATTTGAGAGGCCTGGGACTTGGAGGGAGGCTGGGTTCTAGCCTGTCCTGTTGCCTCTGTTCTTCTGGGCCTCAGTTTCCCCTCTAACATGGGATGTGTGAGTTGAGGCAGGTTGTCCTGGGGTTCAGCTGTAGATGGGAGGGGTCTGGGTAAGCATTTCTCTCCACACAGATGTCCCACAGCTGGAGCCTGGCTGTGTCGGGAGGGGGAGGGGAGCCCGCCTGCAGGGCCCCGCCCAGGGCAGGACTGCTTCTCTGCCAGTCAGGGGGTTCCTTGGGCCCCTGGGTCCTGGGCCAGGTGTCTGGCATGGCTTCCCTGCACTAGACAGCATGGAGGGGAGGTGGCCACCCCTGCAGCTGGGGTGTCCCTACTGGTTCTGGGTCCCTGGGTTTCCCAGGTGTAGTCCTGCTGGTGGGTGTTGGTGGGAGAGGGTTGCTCTGGGCTTTCCTGCCGCCCATGGGCTCTCCCTGCTGGAGAGCAGGCACCATTGTTCCAGGAACAATGCCCCTGGAAGTTTGTGCAGGCCCAGGAGAGGCCTGCGTCTCCAGAGGAAGCTTGTGCCGGCCTGCAGTCTGGCTGAAGGAGCTTGGGGAAGTCCGCAGAATCCCCGTGGAACCTGAGTACAGTTCTCCAGGAGGGTGCGCGGCCAGAGTCTGGGACAGAGACTCTGAGCTCCCTTCTGGGCTGGCAGGGTGAGGTGCCAGTCTGGCTTTCATACTGAGCCCTTTCCAGGGACCCTGGGGAGGGCAGAGTACCAGGGTCTAGTCCTGGGTGCTGATGCTGACAGGGTTTGGAGGGCCTTCTGGAAACTGAGGCCAGAGAGCGGAGGGGCTTTACTCACAGCCAGTCTCCCTGCTCTTGCCTTGCCTGGCCTGGTCCTGTGTGGGTCCAATGGGCTCTGGGGGTGGGGTCTAGGTGGAGCTGTGGTCCAGGCTCTGGGGGATGCAGGGTCATCCATCTGAGTTCTTTGGACATTTCAGCAACATGGCCCCTCTCAGTCTCAACATCCCTGAGTTTGGCTTTGACTTCTGCTGCTGCTTTTCAGGGTAGGCTCCGGCCTCCCTGGCTGACCCTAGTACCTGCCGCCCTGGGTCCTGGGCCAGGGCTATGCAAGTGTGGCCTGGATGCTGTCCTACTGCATGGCTTCCGCTGGGGGAATGGCCATCAGGCCTGTGCTGCAAGTGCTGTCCGGCTGTGGGTGCTGTGGCTGAGGAGGCTTTGGGGTCGTCCTGCAACCCTGGGACCTCAGCGATGTCCCTGCAGCATCCAGAATGAGCTGTGTGCCCTTGGAATGCAACCTTAGTTGACTGGCTGGGATGCGATTGGTGCACCTCTGTTCCTCAAAGCTGTGGTGACCCCAGGCATCCAAAGCTGGGGTGCTAAGTTTTCCCCAGTGTTTCTTTGTTTATAAAGAACTTGGTCTGGGTAGTCCTCAGGCTGGGACCGGGCTGGCCCTGGCCATTAGTGCCTTGCTAGGTCACTGCTAAGCTTCAGTGACAAGCAGAGGTCTAGGGTTGAGGGACCCATGGGTCCCCTTGGTCATCCGCACCCTGCTGCTCCTGCTGGAGACCTGGCAGCCCTGAGAGGCTCGTGTTGTGTGTCACAGGGCTTCCCGAAGTGGTGGCCATCATGTGGCCCAGTTAAGGCCCATTAAGGCCCCTTCTCCCTCCCAGCACACTCAGCTCCTGGGAGGCTGTAGGGACCTTGTCCTGAGCCCTGCACCCCTTCTCCTCAGCCCTGCTTGGTACAGGGAGTGTGTGTCCTCTTCCTGCCCCGATGACCTTCTTGATCCGAGGACAGTGCCACCTCTACCCTTCAGGTGCCCTTCTCCACACCTTCAGTGTCCCTATGTGGCTGGTCCTGGTCCAGGACCCTTGCCCTGGTTCCCTGCACTCCCTTCCCAGCTGCCCTGCCTCTGAGCTTCCTGCAGGCCTGTGGTCACTACTCACAGAGCCTGGCCTATCCTGTTTCTGCTGGGCCCGAGCCTCAAGTCTCTCCTCATCCTGTGTCCTCACTGCCAGGTTCTAGCAGACTTTGTTCCCAGGGCAGTCTGGGGTGTCACCTAGGCTCCTGCTAAAAAGGGCTTGGGGTTTAGGTTACCTCAGATGTTGGTTGAATGATCTATGACCAGGCTAAGTGACCCTAAGGGCTGCTGGGGCTGGATTCTGGCTCTGTGTTCCCACGGTGGTGGCCTGCAAGGGCCATTCCCTGCTGGGATGGGGCAGGGTCTCACATGGGAGCCATCCCAGCTGCTGTGTGAACTCAGACATTCAGTCATTCAGTGTGGCAACCCCTCCAGAGGCCTGGTGACATGGGAGCTATCAGTAACAGTGCTGAATTGATTATCGCTCAGATGGGGACGTGATCAGTTCCCCCCATTGGCCTTTGCTCCAGGTGTGTCTCACCCTCTCGGCCTCCTGAGCCGTGGCGTTGCAGATGGCCCCGCGCCATCATGGCGCCAGGTATTGCTCAGGTGGTTACCAGGCAGTCAAGGCTATACACGGTGCAGCTCGGGCTCCCTGTCTCCTCAGCAGCGTGGGGTTCCTAGGGGCCTCCCTGGCATGGGACCAGTGCTCCTGTCTGCAACCTGGCTTCGTGTGTGGCCTTTGTCCTGTCGTGGCCCTTCCTGTCTGACTCCAGATGAGGTGCACAGGTCCCATCCCCTCCCCATTCCGTCACTTCCTGAAGCTGCTGCCTCCTCGTCTGTAGCTCCCAGTGTCTGATTTGGATGTTTGCCCTGGGCTAGGCCCCCAGTTGTGGCTGCACCCCCCATGCTGTTTGGAGCCCAGCCTGGGCTTCCCAACGTGCCAGGCACAGTGTCTGCCTCAGGCGCTGCAGGGTGGAGCCCAGACTCCTCAGCCGCGCCCAGGTATCCTGGATTCAGTGGCACCTAGGGAGGTGTGAGAGGGGCCAGGGCTCCCTGGGCTCCTGCCAGGGAAGGTGACTCAGCTGGGAAGGGACCTGGAGCTGGACTCATGGGGTTTGGGCCTTCAGGCCTTTCAGGGGTCCTGGTGTAGGCTGGCTCTGCTTGCTGTGGGCTGAGGACCTTCCCTCCTGGGTTGGCCTCGCCTGCCCTGCTGCCTGGCCTGGGGCTACACAGGCTTTGTGGAGGCTGAGCCCAGGGATGTGGGCTGTGCCCCTTGGAATCTTGGGCTGGGCAGAGGTGAGCATTGGCACCTGGTGCAGTGCATGTGGCTCGGGTGCCCAGGATGAGCTCCTGCCTGACGGGGGGCTCTGGGAGGGGCTGGATGAGTGTGGTTGCTGCTTTGCTGCCTTCTGCCTCTGCTGGAGGGCAGTGCAGGGCACAGGATGGGCTGGACTGAGTGAGGCCCTGGCATGATCTTGTCTGAAACAGCAGGGCAGGCTCCGTTTCCCCTTTGCTCTGCCAGCCAGGAGGCCCGCAGGGACCCATGCAGCTCTGGAAGAGCGGGGGACTTTCCCATGCATCTTGAGGGCACTGGTCATTCCTGTACGTTCTCACTGCAGCTGTGTCCAGTTGTGTAGTTTGGTTTCTAATTTGTATTGTGTAGCTTCTAGAGGCCGATGCATGATCTTTGTACACGACCGAGTAAGTAGAGTGAGGCTGGCCTGAGCATGTGCAGCAGGTGTCTGGCTGTCACTTGGTCCCTGGAATGGGGGCCTGTGCTCCGCAGGCTGTGGCTGCAGGTGCCTTGTCTGCTGCTGGTCACAAGTGCTGGCTTCCCACCCCTTCTCCTGAGTGGAGCCCCGAGGCCCTATGTCTAGGCAGATCCGGGGCTAGGGTGACTTCTCTGGCGCCCCTGTGGGCAGGGCAAGCCTTGGGTGTCCCATTCCCCTGGGAGGCCTCCCAGCCCTCTGGCCACATCCCCCTAGGTGCTAGGTGGGTGGTGGGCTGGTGTCGTGTGTGGCAATATCTGGTCTCATATATGGCTGCCATCCTGTACCATGATCCCTGACCTGGGTGGTGGCCTGGCCGAGCCACTGCATGTCTCTGGGTGGACCGTGCCAGGCACTGCCCTGCTGTGTTTTGCCCTGACTCCCAGCCTCGGCCTGTGGCCACAGCCCAGCTTGGCCTTCCAGACAGGACTCTGCACCCTCTTGCTGGTCCCCAGCTGGAACTGAGTGGCCTGAGCGATTGTCCCAAGCCCTCTTGGCCCCGGCTGCTTGACAGCTGCCATGGTGCAGCTGCAGGGCCCTCCTGCCTAGCACGGATCCACCCTGTCCCACACCTGCTCCAGCTGGAGGAAACTTGGGGGATATACTCCCAGCTTTCTCACCAGCCTACTCCTGAGGGTGAGACCAGGAGTCCATGATGGGCTCAGGGACTCCCTAAGGGGCAGGGATTAGGGGATGGCAAGAGGCAAGGCTGGAGCAGGGGTCCGAATGTGGGCACACTCTGCTTTGCTACCCAGCTGCTCAGGAGGGGAAGTGTCCAGTCCCTCTGGCCTTGTGCTGTGGGAGCTGTAGGCCTGGAGTAGGGGCCTGCGTGCCTGGCAGCACCCAGGTGTGGCTGAGTGTGTGGCTCTTGAGCTGCTTCAGGGCCTGTTCTGCCCGGCAACTGGGGTATTAGTGTGGGAGGTTGGGCTAGTCCTGCGTGGGCCTGGCTTGGTGTAGCGGCCTCTTCCTGAAGTTTGTGTGCTGCCATGCATTTTGGGAAGGGGCAGGGCCAGGGATATCGATCAATAGCACAGGGCCTGCCTGGCAAGCTTGAGGTCCTGAGTTCAATTCCTGTTTAAAAAAAAAAAAAAAAAAGACCATGAAAGAGAAGGGGGGGCAGCTGAGGTTCGGTGCTCCGCCCACCGCCCACAGGGTTGGGCAGGCTCTGTGTTGGAGCAGTGTCCACAGCGCCAGCTGAGGGGCTGCCCTGGCTTGGAGCGGGGCTGCGGCTACCCTCCAGCGGAAGCCTTCACCCTTGTGGGCCCCAGCAGCCTGCTGGGCAGTGAGTAAACAGAGAGGCCCTTGAAGGAAGAGGGTCTCAATGACAAGTCTGTGTCCTGTGGTCCAGCTGGGTCGTGCCTGGCACAGGCCTTGGGCTGCATGCCGGTCGGTGCTGGGTGGGCATGGGAGAAGCCTGTGCTGCCAGGAGCTCTGAGCTGCACCTGGAGGGTGTGCCCTGGCCTGGCGTGAGATGCTTGGTAGGGTGGGAGGGCCCTGGGCAGCCGAGGCCTGGATGCTGGTGTTCAGGCTGGAAAGTCAGGCCCTGCCAGGCTGTAGGGACCTGAAATGTCCACTGCTACATGGCCTGTGGGTGCAGCTGCTGGCAGCCAGCCCTTCCTGGATCTGTTGTCAACTCCGGAAGCAGTGGTGCAGGTCGAGGCCCACAGTGCTTTGTTTGGGAAGGGAAGGAACGAGGTGGAGGGGATGGCGATCACAGGTCCTCGCTCATGCTCGCTGTAGGGTAGGGCAGAGGGACCTAGGGTTCTGGGGGCCTCTGGTCCTGTTGGTCCCTGCCTGTGGGTGCTGGGGTCCCAACTGTGGGTCCCCGGTGGTGATGGGCTCAGAGAGTCTTTCGTGAGGTGGGGTCTGGGGCGACTTGGACCTAGGTGCTGGACCCCTGTGGGCATGGGGGCAGGGCCTGGTCTGTGCTGTCCCCGGGTGGGGGCTGGGCCAGACCTGGAGTCAGCTGTGACGTCTCTTCTGGTGCTGGCTCTTGGAGAAAATAGAAGGACTACTTACCTCAGCTTGGAGACCCAGCGAGGAACTAAGAAACAAGAAGCTATCATTTCTACGTAGGGCAGACTCCTGGAAGCCCTTGGCATGAGGGGTGCTAAATTGAATCAAATTAAGAAAAATATTTTTCCAAATGCAAGTAAAATATCTGTTTAATTAGACCCTAAAGGAGAAATTAAAAGTCATATTTTGCAGTGGAGTAATTACTGTCTCTCCAAAGGCACTGACTTCAGAGGCTGAGGAGCAACCCATGCTGGGCTTTGGTGGTCAGGTCCTGCGACTGCACAGTGACCAGGGCACCACCCCAGGGCCCTGCTGCCACTGACCCCCGATGTGCTGAACCCTGGAGGTGCAGGAGGCTGGCAGTACAGGTGCCATGAGTTCAACTAGACCTGAATGTGGGGTTTCCGCGGGGCTCTGCTTGTCCTGGCCCCCGAGTTGCTGGCCCCTGGTGCAGGCTGTGTGGTTCTCAGAGACCCAAGTGTAGCTCAGTGGCTTCTCCCTCTGGGTCCCTGGCTGTGAGGTGTGTGGCCTGGTTGACATTAGGGTCAATGTCCTCTGTCCCAGGAGAGATGCTTGTCTGGAGAGTCAGCTTTGAATTTTATAATCTCAGCACTCTAGGAGGCTGAGACAGGAGGATTGCAAATTTGCCGAACCTGGGGAATTTAATGACTTAGTGAGGGTGTCTTAAAATAAAAAATGAAATGGCCCAGGGTTGTGACTCAGGGTGCTGTCCCTGGGTTCATCCTCTCTCTTGACAGAAGAGCAAGATGGGGGCCGGGGAGATGGCTCAGTGGAATAAGTGCTTCCCTGGCAAGCACAAGTGTCTGAGTTCAATCCCTGGTTCTGCAAAAAAAAAAAAAAAAGGACCCCCAGAAGAGCAAGAAAGTGGGCTGTGGTCACAGGTCAGCCTCCTGGGAACCCACACAGCAGAGGGGTACAGGTCCCTGGCCATGGTGCCATGCAGCCTGTGTGGGCTTCCCAGTGGACTCTGAGCTCAGTGGGCAGCCCCGCCTCATCCTGGGACCCCATGTAATGCCCTGGGGTCTGGGCAGGGCCCTGCATTCAAGACCCCACTGCTTGGCCTGGTTGGGTACTGGCTGGGGCTGTCCAGGTCCTGTCTCCTCCCTTTGGCTCCCCTGGCTGGCTGAGGAAGGTGCTGTGGGTCCTCAGGAGCCCCTGCTCTGCTTGCTGCCCACTTCTTTCCTGGCTCCTGGGGTGCAGGCCATGGAGGGGTGGAGAAGGCTCCCCAAGGCCTGAGGTCCCTAGGACAAGCGAGTTCCCTGGTGGCCAGCAGAACAAAGGCTGCTGGCCGGGTGGGGCTTGGGCAGGCCTGCCTGCCTGCGGGCTGGGCTAATGGCTGCAGTGGGGCGGGCACTTCCTTCCCTTTCACAGCCTCCTGCAGAGTGGAAAAGCAGCACAATCAGAGCATGGGGAAGCTGGCCTGGCTGCCCTTGGCGGGGGCCCTGTGCTGGCCCTCTGGGAGGGGGTGGGGTACCTGGTATGGACCTGGTGCCAGGCTGTAGTGGCCGAACTGAGGGACTTCTTGTGGGCTCTAGTAGCCGGGGTGGGGGACCTTCCCTTCTCTGCTGGGCTAAGCTCCGGGAATGCCTGCAGGGGTGTGGGGCAGGGAGCTGCTGGTCGGGACCAGACCTGCCAGGCGCTTCAGAGCTGGAGAGAATCCAGGCTTCCAGACAGGACAGGCGCTGCGAACCTCCAGCTGACTGAAGGCTGGGCCTGTGTGGGTTCCCCTTTCATGTGACCTGGTGTCCCCAGGGCCGTGGGCTGGCATTGGAGACAGGCAGGAGAGAGCCATGCTCAGGCCAGCCCTAGGGTTCTCCACAGTGCTGACCAACCTGGGTTAGAGCCTCCTGTGCATGGGTCAGGTGGTGGGAAACAGGGCAGACTCTGGGGCCAGCGGCCTCACCTTCAGCTCTGGCTGGGTGTGTTTGGGGACATGGTGGTCTTTTTGTGATCAGGCAGGGCAGGGACTCCCTCTAGCCAGTTTGGGAGGAAAACCCAGACTAGGGTGTGGCTGGGGGGCCCCAGGAGGTCTCTGAGAGGAGCTGGGAACCTTAGCCCACTTGGCCAGGTGGGTCACAGTGTCGCTGTTTCTTGTCATAGGGAAAGACCTGCAGTACCATCCTGGGGTCCACAGGCAGGAAGCAACCCATGCCAAGGCCAGCGTGGCCTAGTGGAGAGGTGCAGGAGGCTTGGCTGGGAGTGCGTGGATTACCCTTTCACGTGACCTGCGGTCTTAGGGGTCCTCAAGTCAGGTGGCCTCACTGTGAGCACTCCACTGGGGTCTGGCTGGTGGCACGGAGGTGGTTGGTGCCAGAGATTCAGAGAGCCGCTGTCCATGTGGCCGCACCGCTTCCCTGAGGTCAGCGGGAAGAAGTGCCAAGCTGGGCCTGCTGGTGCCCAGCACCACCCGTGTATGGGTTCAGTGCGGCTTCCAGGCTCTGGAGTGTTTTCTGGAGCAAGCTTCCTCAGAGGGAAACCAGCTCTGTAACTGTACCCCATCATCTTCTGAACCCCACCTTTGAGTCCGTGAGACTTGGGGGCTCTGATCCAAAGCACAGTGGTAACGCGCTGCAGGGCTCTGACTGTGGCCCTAGGCTACAGGAAAGCACGATTTTGGGCCATGCCTCTGCTGTATGCTTCCTGCCTGTGTCTTCTCCCCTGCCTTGGGATGTCCTTGCTGTCCTGTGGCGGTCCCAGCTGTGGCCTGGCTTCTCTAAGCACGGCCCAGAGTCCCCTTCACATAAGAGTCGCCCTCTGGGGAAGGGGCTGCCCCTCAGGGAGCCCCTCCTATGCTCCACAGCAGCCCCTGCTTTTATTTTCCTGCCTGATCCAGGGGTGAGGGGCCTCGTGGTCATCCCTTGCTAGGGGCCGGTTGTCAGGAGCCGTTGTCAATGTGTCTTGTTAGTTGCACGGTTGATGATGGGGGGCAGTGGCGGTTATCAAGGGCACTGTGAGCCTCGCTATTAAGCTCCGATAATTATTTTCCTGCTGGGCTCCTGTGGATGAAAGCGTGTGGGGCTTATTAATCAGTTATGGATGGTGCTGGCGGCCACATGGTGTGGTGGTGGATGAGGTGTGGGTAGCCAGCTAGCTGTGTGTGGCTGCCTCACCTGGATGCTGACCGCGTCTTGTCCCTTGCTGTCCTTAGGATCCCTGCCTCTCTGCTCGGCTCCTGGACAAGCTCCCAGTGCCTGGGATCTCGCCCGTGTGCCGTCCTGAGGCCGAGAGTCGCTGCGATGCCTGTGCCACGCACCTGCGCCAGCTCACGCGGGAGGCGCTGCGCCTGCTACAGGCCCCTGCCAGCCGCGAGGACCCTGGTGTCCCCCGAGGAGGCCTCGTGCCCCCAGGCCCTGGAGCTATGACCAGTCCCAGGGACATGCCTGGCCCCCCAGGGAGGCAGCTGGCCCCACCTGACCGGAGGAAGGGGCTGGCCTGGCCGGCTGGGCCTAGTGTCCAGGTGTCGGTCGCCCCTGCCGGCCTAGGGGGAGCACTGAGCACCGTCACCATCCAGGCGCAGCCGTGCCTCGAGGGCATGTGGAATGTCTCAAGGGCAAGCAGCTTCCTGCCGCCGACCTGCCTGGTAAGTGCCGGGCACCCTGAGGTCAGAGCTGGGCCCCTTCCAGGCCTGGGGCTTCTGGTGCCCACCAGATATCCCCGCCCCAAGTCAGATCCCACGATGGCCCTGCAACCAACTCAGACCACTTTCCTGAGACCATGTGTGGCGAGGAGACAGAGGGACAAGGGCTGGCAGGAGGGAAGGGTGCTCTGTGAGGACCCTGCCACACCAGATGCCCCGCCCCCGGCGCTGCCCACGGTGGCACAGGCTTTCCTGTAGCTGGGAGGCAAAGACTGGGGCCCAGGCCGAGGCCAGGACGCGCCCCCACTGAGCCTGGTCTGTAGAAGGGGATAGTGCGCGGAGAATGTTTCTTCCCGGGAATGCCCAGCTTCCTCGGCCGGCTCCCAGGGCCTGGCCCAGGGACTGGTAATGTTCAGGAAGGGGCCTAGAGTGGCTGGCTGTGGGGTCCCCTGCGTCCTCCATACCTCTTCTTTTCCGTCCTGAGCAGGAATCCTGGTTTTGGGGCTTCCTGGGATTCTGGGGGTGTGGCTTGGGCTTGGGGAGTGTGCCGGCTTGGCTGTCATGAGCACCCTTAGCTTGGGCCCATCCCACCCCTCTGTGCACCTCCTGCCTGGTTCAGATAGCTTCTTCAGGCAGCACTGTGTCCTTGGCTGTGGCTCTCCACTTGCTGGGGACCAAGGCCGAGCCACCAGCACTCCACCAGTCTCCCCTGCCCTTAGCGCTGTGGGCTTGGCGTCAGTCAGGAGCACAGAGACCCTTGGGCAGAGCTGGGAGGTGAGAGGCAGTGTGGGCAGGGCCAGGGCTGGGGGTTGGAAGCAGTGGTGCTGCACACGTCTGCACAGCCTCGCAGAGCCTCGGGTGGAGGACCCGGGGCGGTTACGGACCCTGTACCCCATGTGTGGCGTGGACAAGCACCTGCAGCCACCTGCAGCCTGTGGTTACGCAGGGGTCCCTGGACCTTGGCTTCCCTGCCTGGTGGCATTTCAGGAGCTGGGCAGAGGTGTGGGCAGAGGCCTCCGTCCCAGCTTCCTGGGCTGCTGGGGTTGTACCTTCAAGGTCACTTTGTTATCCAACCAGAACTGTAGGGCACTCGGGAAGCACTCTTGAGCTCAACTGACCTTCAGCTGCTGTGGTGATCCACCCCGAGAGTGGCCTCGCTGTGGTTTGTGGCTGGGAATAGCGCTCTCCACCTATTACCTTAGGGAAGCCTGACCACTGGTACTCAGGAGGATGTGCTGGGGCATAAGTGATGGCTTTCTGGAGGAGGTGGCATTGAGCTGAACCCCAAATGTCCCTGGCCCGTCGTAACCATGTCTGGCTGGGCCCTGATGATGTTCGTAGTCTTTCGTCTTGGTGTGATGTGGGGCCTGGGGACCCTGGGGAAGGGCTATGCCTATGGTAGCCAGATGCCATACAATGTGGATGTTTAGGGTGCCCACTCCTATTTTGTGTGTGCCCTGATTGTGTTCTGGGTAGGCAGGAATGGATTTATAATTAGGGAATGGCCCAACAATCAATAGGGAGATTATTAGAACCCTAAATAGAACTTCAGGACTCAGATGCGGTAATGTCCCCTCTCTGCACATCAGTCATTAGAGGTAGCATTAGAGGTAGTCCTGGAGTGTTAAAATATTGCCTGGTTTGCTCTAGAATGAACTGTTCCTGATCCCAGGCAGACCATGACCTTGGTGGGTGGCGGCTCAGCCGCGCTATCCTGGGATGGGGAGTGGAGGGCTGGGGCTTGACCCAGTGCGAACTGCCCTCTCTGAGGTGGTGAAGTTGGTGAGGAGGAGAGGCCGGGCCTGTCCGGATGGCTGCTCTTGAGGGACAGCAGGTGGTAGGGGCCGGGAGCCAGGGCTGGAGCCTGTCGGGACCTTGCATGACTGTCTGGGTGCAGAAGCCTGTGACCATGCAAGCCGTGTCCCTGTGCTGCATCTGGGAACAGTGCAATGTGTTCTGGGTCATCTGCCATCTGCCCAGCTGGCTCTGGTGTCACAGCGAGTCCCTCCTGTCCACCTGCCCTGACCATGCTGGACAGAGGCCTGGGCCTGCCACGTCAGGGCAACAGAGACCACTCCACTGCGGCTCCTCAGCAGGCGGCAGGAACGCAGGGAGCACCCGAGGCAGCAGGCCTCTGAGAAATAACATTCTCCTCTGTGCCATGGCATTCGGGTGGCGCCAGCTCTGGGGTCCTGCAGGGTTGCCAGGTGCCAGGGATCGCGCGGGGGTGGGGTGGGGAGCGGGGCAGGAACTGGTGGGGACTGGAATGTCATTGTTATGCCCAGGCGTGGCTCTCGGATGCAACTCCCTGGCCCTCGCTGGGCTCCTCATTTGAGCCCCAGTTTCCCTGCCTGTGGAGTGGGCATGGACAGGGTGCTCCCTTTTCCACAAGGCCTGCACTGACCTTGCTTGTCCATCCTGGGGCCTCTGGGTGAGGATCCTGGGCCTTCATGGGCAGGTATTCTGCCCTTAAGCCTTCAGCACCTCGGAGCCTGTGAGGTGCTTGTGGGTGTGGCCTGTGGGCGCTGTCTTCCCTGGGGAAATCCTGGAAATAAGCGGTCAGTCTGGAGGGCTCCTGGGAAAGGGCCGGCATGGTGTTTCCCAGACAGTATTCTGTGGAGCCCTGGTTGGCGCCAGCTGGCCTTGGGAGGCTCCACTGAAGCAAGGCTGTGGCGTCGGCCGTGGCGGGTGGTAAGCAGGCGTGGACCTCCTGGCTGTGCCCGGCCGCAGCCGGCCTTACGCTCTCCTCTCTCCTGCTTTTCCTTTCGTTGCTGCTGTGGTGCTTCCATCTCGCTTTCTTTTGGCCTCCTCCTTCCTCTGTCCTGTGTGTGGTCCCCTCCTTCCCGCCCTGCCTCTTGCTTGGGACGGCTTCTTTTGGCATGCTTGGGCTCTGCTTCTGGCAGGAATTGGCAGTGGCCGTCCCGGTGGCCGGAGCCGTGGGACGGTGGAGCCGCGGCCGGTGCGGGACTCCTGAGACAGGTCAGTGTGGGTGGCCTGGGGGCCATAAGTGGCACCACGAGGCTGCTGGAGGTGGAGATGCAGGAGGAGATGGGGGGAGGGGTGGCTGGGCCCTTGGGCTGGGGCGTTTGGGGGGCTCTGGCCCTCCTGAGACCCCTGTGGCCTCAGTCCCACACCTGCAGGCAGCGGGGAGCTGGGTGTGGCTGGGCCTGATGGTGCTATCGAAGGCTGTAGCCCAAGTACCCCTTCCCATGTTCCTGGAGCCGCTAGACCCAGCCCTGCCCCCAAGGGGGCATGGTCCACCTCTTTAAGATCCATCCTTTCCGGAGCAGCTCTGTGCTGCAATGGAGTTTAGGTCTTTTCCAGGAAAGAGGCATTGACAGGAAAGGAACTCGCGTTCAAGGTGAAGCAGGCCACGCTGGGTTCTGAGCAGGGTGCAGGAGTTTCTGCCCTGCAGGCAGGTGGTGGGCATGGTACACTGCACTGTGCCAGGTTCTGCCCAGGCCATAGGTCTGCCCTTTGCTGCCACTAACCTTTCCTTCTCGTAACGCAGGGCCAGAAATGCTGGCCTTCCACAAGCCTGAGCTTGGGGCTGGCTCTGAGTCTGTATGGATGAGCTTCTTCCCACTCACTGTCCCAAGAGGGCTTTGGAAGCTGGCGATGGTCACAGGCTGGGAGAGCATGGTGGGGGAGCTGCAGATGGGGTGGCAAAGACTCCCCCAGAGCGTGGGGCTTTCTCTGCTGCAGTGCTTCCCCTGCCTTCTGCCTGTGTCCACCGGGAGACCTTGAGGACGCTAGATTTCTTGACCCTAGAACACTACGCTTTGCCTCTGTCCTCTCTGCCCACCTGGATGGGGCAACCTGGGCCTGGCTGTGGATATTCTCCAGGCTGGGTGGAGCTGGGCACCGTGGAGGACTGGGGACAATGGCCCTGCGGAGAGGGACAGTTGCCTACCTTCCAGGGGCCTGGGCCCAGGGTACAGACACATGTCTCCAGGGACACCAGCCTGGAGTGTGCTGGTGTGTCCTGGTGAGTGTTTTCCTGCATCTGAGCTCAGCACCAGGCATCTCCCTTCTGGAGTCTGTGTCAGCTAATTAGTTGGAAATGCCAGAGCAAGATTTCAGGCCCAGGAAGCCCCCGCATCACCAAATGCAGAGCACTCAGCACCTGGCCAGATGTCTATTGTGGCTTCTTGTCCTGTGGCAACTCGGAGGGCTTCCAGAGGCCTGGGCCTTGGGACAGGGCCCCTTCTGTCCACTGGACGTGGTCACTGTCTTGTGCACTTGGTGATAGGGCCAGGAGCCCAGGCCTGAGTGTGTCCCACCTATGTCTCCCATTTGCCCTGAGCTGGAGACCTGCGTCTGTGATTCTTGGGGCCAGGGAGTATGTGGGCTCCGGGGTGCACAGCTTGTCTCCTGAGCACCCTGCGTCTGGGACAGTGGGCGCCTGTCCACTAGCCCGTGCTCACATGGATTTTCTTTCCTTCCAGGCTGAGGCTGCTGTGGCTGCTGTGGCGGTGGCGGACTCTGTCCGAGATGGCACCCCCATGGTGGGCCCTGATGGCTTATCCAAGGCATGGGGCCAAGTGGGGGCCCGCACATCGACTCTGGCTACTCCAACCCCTGGCACCTCGACAGGGGGTGCCACAGCTCCATCTGCCGCAGCCTCCTTCTTCATAAGGTATGTCCTTGGGACCTCAAGTTGCAGCATGTAGCGGACACGGGGCCAGCCGTGAGGCTGGGCTCTGGTGGTCTGAGGTCATGCTTGTGAGAATGATGACCTTGTCCACTGCCTGATGGAGTGGGTAGGAGCCATGCAGAGACGCAGCGGCCCTGTGTGGCTTGGCCTCCTGTCCAGGCACCATGGGATGATGCATTGGCCCCGTGGCCCTCTGTCCCAGGCCTGAGCTCAGGTTGCTGGGAGGGACAGGACCACAGCTGACATGTTCAGCCCCCCAACGCTTAGCATCAGCTGGTACAGGTGTGGGTTCCAGGTGCACAGGGGCTGGGGCCGTGCAAGGTGTGGGGCTGACAGTGCTCAGATTTTCAGCCCACTCGGGAGCTGGGGACCCGGATTACAGGATGTAATAGCGGTAATGAGTGATAATGGCGTGCACAGCTGTGGGTCACTGTCCCATTAGCAGCCACATGGGTGCCAATAAGCTTGTCCCTGAATCACCGCATGGTGTGGGAGGAGGGCGCCTTACCAGAGCAGCCTGGCTGGGGGGACTGGAGTGAGGCCAGCCTGGGGGTGGCTGAGCAAACGATGAGGGCTTTATTACCAGGTTGGACGCACGCTACGCCATCACCCGCCAGCCTCAGCCGCCACCCCAGTTAGGAGCAGGGAGCTGGTAGAGCCTGGGGGGGACCAGGAGGGGCAGACCCCAGGCTGCCACTGTGACCCCCGCCCCTGAGACTCCATTTCCATGACCCTGCCCCAGACTCCTGGGCTCAGTGCGGTGGGAGGACTGGAAATGGGGCAACTTTTGGAAAGAGAGGTCTTGGGGGCCGCATGGGCCTGAGGCCCATGGCTGAGGGGGTTCTTGTCTTGGGAGAGAAGAGCGCTGCTAGGGTGGCCCTCACTGTCTCATTAGCGACCAGAGCAGCAGCCTTTTGTCTGAGGCAGGCTGGCGCTGTTCGGCCTGCACCATGCCGCTGACCTTGGGGAGTTGCCATAGAAACCAAGAAACAAGAGCTGGGCCTGCGGCCTGTTTCACACGCTGTGTGGCACTTACTTCCAGGCAGCTAGGCACCCTGAGTCACACTACGAGTGGGGGGATGGCCCCGGTGGGGCAGGTGTCCCAGCAGGCCATTGTGGCTGCTGTGGGCCCTGGGCTGGGTCTGTGGTCAGCAGGAGTGAGAGGGTGAGAGTGTTTAGGGGCTGCTCCTGGCTGGGGGCTGCTGGCGCCCGGCTCCTGCCCGCACGCGTGCCCCCACCTCCACCTCCACCCCAGGACCTGCCCTTGGGAGTTCTCCGGGAGGGGTGCCGCAGCTGGAGCCTGCCTGCTGTGCTGCGGGCTGAGTGGGTCCTGAAAGTCAAAAGTGGAGTGGGGTGGGGTCAGCATGGGCTCCTGAGACCCTGCAGGCTGGGGTGAGTCTAGGCTCTGCCACTGCCCCCAGGTCCCCTGGGCACTTGCCTCAGCCTTCTCGGGCCCTCCACCTGCCCTCAGGTCTTACCCCCGTGTGGGAAGCCAAGATGCCGGTGCCCAGTGCTTGGGGCAGGGCTGAGTCCTGGGAGCCCTGCAGCTGTGATGGTGCCCCCCCCCCCCCATAGCTGTGTCAGCACCTCGGCAGACTGCGGTCTCCTCGCTGTGCCACGCCCCACCGCACTGCCTGCCCTCCTGTCCTTCTGCCCTTCTGGGACTCAGAACCGAGGTGCCTTGGGGGGACTGCGTCGCTGTGGCAGGCTTGAGGTGGGGAGCAGTGTGGCTTCCTGCTGGCGCAGCCACCCTCTGTGCCCACAGCCCGCAGGCTTCCGGGGTCCTGTGTTGTCTGCCCGGACGTCCAGGCTGAGCCCAGAGGCAGGGCCAGGGCAGGTACCGCCCGGACTCCCGGAAGCCTTGCCAGGTAGGCAGGAGAGCCTGTCTGTCATCGCTCGTGGCCTCCAGGTGAGGTCCCAAGAGATGCGGGGAAGGTCTGGGGTCCTATGGGGTTAGGGTCTCAGGTGGATGGAGGGTAGGCCCAGCCGGCCCAGCCAGCCCAGCCTGTTGTCCTGGTCTCCTGCAGCCGGGAGGCTGTCCCTTGGTGGGTCCCCATGTCAGCCCCTGCTGTGTCACTTCGCCAGAAACCAGAGATTTGCATCCCCAAAGGCAATGCCTGGAGTGCAGGTATGGTGGCCATGTGGGGTGCTGGGCGGCTGCTGGGAGTTGGTCTCAGGCTCACAGGGTCCAGATTACGTTAGGGGAGGAAATGCTGTTCTAGCAGTGACAGGTGGCCATGAAAGCAGGCAGCTGAGGGCCAGAGGGGTGCTTGCTTGTGGCCTGGTAGCTCCAGCCCCTAGGGCTACCAACGGTGGGATGCCTGCCTGAAGCCAAATGTACACTCTGCATCCCCAGGCTGGCCTGACATGGTGAGGTTGTGCTGCAGACCCCTGGCCCTGGAGGGGCGGAGCTGACTCTGGTCTCTGCTGGACCTTGCTCCAGGCCCCTGCATGCCTGGCCTCTCACAGTCCTCGCCTCCCTGTGCCCTGCTCATTAGGGGCATGGTGTAGGTACAGGAGGTGCTGTCCCCACTCTACGCCATGCCTTGACCCTGTGACTTAGAGTAGGCCTGGGCTGGGGGTACTGACCGTCCCCTTTGGGGTAAGCCATACCTTTCATGCCCAGCGGGCTCTGTGAGTGCCCTTTCCTGAAACCCATGTCAGGCATGGCCCCCGTTTACAGATGGCAGTTTGGCTGGGAGGCCTCCTTGTCCTGCTTGGGTGGACTGGACTCTCGCCCCGACACAGCCTTCCTGTGGGTCCTGTGCTGGGCAGTGCTGGGTGGCAAGGTGGGGCTGCCGTGTCCGTCCTTGTGGGCTCTGAGCTGGACTGCAGCTTCTTCCTGCCGAGACAAGCCACAGAGGAGTGGGGCATAGTGTGGGGAGAGCCCCTGGGCGGACGCCACTTACCCTGCAGCCTGCACCCCTTTCTTGCTCCTGGGGTTAGTACCACTTCCTGGAGACAGTGTTTTCACACTGCAGTGGTACAGTGTTGCCTGTTCGTGCTGTGGCTTCCTTGCTGTGTACAGGATTTGCCAGCCCTTGCTTAGGTAGTAGGGTACGGGTGTTGCGTGCTCATGACGCCCAGTGAAATCTGATGCCCTAGCCATGGGTCTGCAGGTTGTAGACACCTCCACTGCCACCAGCCTGCGACCTCCGCCCCACACCTGGCCCTTCCTAGTGGTGGGAGTGCCTGCAGGGGCTCCGTTTTGGGCTCTGCCACGAGTCATAGATTACTTTTATTCTCTTCGATGACACTTCGAGAGAAGGAAGCCATCCCTGGGGTGTCTTAAAAGACAACTCCTATTAACTATGAGAGGAGTTAAGCGAAGTGTGCAGTAGATCATGCCCCTACTGTGGGAGGTGGGGTAGAGGTGGATACAGCCTTGGGGACTCCTGGGGGATGCAGAGGCGCCCCCCCCCACCCATCCTTCTTGAGAGGCCCATGGAGCTGGGAGGAGGCAGTCCCTTTAGCACTGGGGCTGGGGGTTTGCTGGGCTCTTCTGTTTGGCAGAGGTAACCGGTCCAGAGACAGGACCTGTGGGGGCCACAGGTGTTTTCTCTTGGGTGGTGGTGTCCTTGGGTCCTGTGGGGCAGAGCTCTGGGTTGTGGTCCTGTGGACCCAAGTGCTGTGCTGTGGGAAGGAGAATTTGGGGCTAGGGAACCCTTGAGAAAGGCTGGGAACCCACAGAGCAAGTCATCTTGCAGGAAGCTCCAGGCCTAGGGGCCGGACTGTGTGTAAGCCTACACGCGCATGTGCCTATGTGTGCCCATGTGTGGGTCAGCATGCATATGTACCCCTCCTATGTGTGCCCACTGTGTGTGTGTGTGTGTGTGTGTGTGTGTGTGTGTGTGTCTCAGGTGGGCTGGGAGCTATGCTTGGTCTCCAGCAGGGGCTCCAGGTCAGGGGCGAGGCAGTCCCTGCCCTGATGCTGACCACTGATCAGGACAGCAGCATTAATTAAGCTCCTCCAGGGCCGGCGAGATAGCTCAGCAGACTAAGCACCTGCTTAGGTGAGTGCAGGGGCCACTGTCCAATCCCCAGCACCACATGCCATGCCAGCCCCGCCCCCAGGGCAGGCTGAGCCCGCCAGCATCTGGGCATAGTGGCGCATGCCTGTAAGCCCAGCGCTGGGGAGGCTGAAAGCAGGAGGCTCACTATGAGTCTGAGCTGTGTAGTATTAAGCTCCTTCTGTGTGTGTGTGTGTGTGTGTGTGTGTGTGTGTGTGTGTGTGGCATGCGGAGTGTCTTGACTGTATCTGCTCATGCCAGCCACACATGAGGGCCCCTAGGGTCACCTCCATGTTAGAGATAGGAGGACAGGCGTGGGGAAGCTAAGTTCATGTGCCCAGGTCCTGCCACCTGCGAGTGGCTACTGCAGCTCGGGCACTCGCTTCATCTGCCTAGCCTCTCTGTCCTCTGCCTGGCTGCGTGCTGGGCAGAGCTGCTGGGGTGGGTGTGGCAGTGCTCCCGGGGACCCCACTTTGAGAACTATGCATGCATAGCCACAGTTCTGACGGTTTTCTCTGTGGTGTGGCTTGGGCTGGGGTGGCCTGGTGCATGGGTGCACGCAGGGGCACAGTTGCTAGGCAGTACTGGGCCGGCTGAGCTGCTCTCTCTTCCCCAGGGCTGCCCAGAAGCTCAGCTTGGCCTCCAAGCGCAAGAAGCACCACCCAGTGCCTGCCCCTACACCTCGCAATGCCTCTGCCTACCCTACTGACTTCAGCGGTGTCCTTCAACTGTGCCCACCCCCTGTGCCACCCTGCTTGCTCAGGGCAGCCTCCAAAGCCAAGGACAACCCAGGAAGTTTTGGAAAGGTAGACCTCATCCCTGGTGACCCTGGGAGGGACCTGGGGGTAAGAGAAGGTGTGGGAGGTGGAGAGGCCTGGTTTGTTCCCCAGCCTGGACAAGGCTTATTGGCATGGCTACAGATGGGGAGACTGAGGCTCTGGGAGCTATGCTGGGAGCAACAGGGAGCCTGAGTACTGTGTGGGGCTGGGGCTGTGGAAGACAGGTCTCCAGGGCACCCTGGGGACACAAGAAGTACCTGCATCCAGCCTAAGTCCTGCAGGGTGGGGAGTTATGGGATTGTCCCAGTGGGATGGCAGCCAGGGCCATAGGCCGGGCAGAGGTTGGGCCCTGGGCTTTCTCTGGACCTTTCCAGAGACCTAGGAGTGGTAGAGCTACCCATCCCTGTAGCCTCTTCTGGCTGCAAAGGTCTGCAGTTGCCTGTTCCTTTGGGCTCAGGTCACTGTCTGTTTCTGGGTCCTCATGTGGCCATTTGGGAGACACCAACCCAGGGTTTGGGGCAGGTCCCATCCTGCCTTGGGAAGGTGCTGGGCTAGCAGGTGACCTGTGTCCCTGAAGGGACAAGGGAGATGGGGCTGTGTCCTGAGTGCTCACCTGCCAGGCATTGGCTGCCTCAACCTTGCACTTGGACTGTGTCCCTGCAGCGTCCCTAGGGTGAGGCTGTGAGCAGGAGGGAGCACTGGTCTCTGACTAGCAGCAGCTGCCTACAGCAGGGCAGATGAGTTCACTGGCCAAATAACTGCCCAGGGTTTTATAGGTGTGGCATTGGTGGGGGGAGTGTCGGGGCTGAGATGGGGATGGTGGGGGGCAGATGTCCACTTGGCACTGAGTTCCTGCTCTGGTCTCTGCTGATGTGGACATTTGGACTGCCTGGGCCCAGGCTTCTCCCTGCCCAAGGCATGGTGGGTAGAGGACAGGGCTGCCTCTGGCCAGCAGCACCATGCTGAAAAGGACACCATGGAGGTCCGGTTGTTCTGCCCCAAGGTACTGGGGCCAAGCCCTTCCCCCAGGTATTCTGCAGGGGTGATGTCAGCCTTGTTTCTGGGGTCTGCTTCAGGAACAAGGCCTTGGCCGCCAGCCCCCCAGTCTCCACCCCCTGTGCCTGCCCCTCCTTGGCTGTGTGATGAGCCCTAATGTCACATAGTCAGAAATGCCTCCTGAAAGGCGTTTAATATTGTCACAGGAAAGAAGTTAGATTGTGCTCCATTTCTGACATTAATGTGCTACTTAAGATAATTCATCAGAGTGTGGCATTAAGAAAGACACCCCTCAGAGGGTGCTGAGTGGCACCCTCCCCCGCCTGCCTTGGCCACCGCGGAGAGATGGAAGCCCTTTTTTATGCAAAATGTGTTTTTCCCTCCCTGGCTTTGTGATACCTGCACATTTGGGGGGAGAGACTCATGAGCTTGTCGCCTGCGAAGACCCTGTCATTTTCCCGCTGTAATGGCAGGTTCTGTGGCAGCAGACAGTGGCCCAGCACTAGGATGGGGGTGCGGGGGGCGGCCCAGATGGCCGGTGCTTGCCCAGCCCCTCCCTGCCTGGCTGCAGGTTGACCTGGGATTAGAGGCAGTCAGCAGATGTGAGAGGCTCGTTCTGGCTTCTCCCAGCCTCTGCTCCCCCCCAGGAATTCTCTCAAATCTCCAGAACCTATTTGGCTCCTGAAGTGGTGGGGAGTTCATGCTGGAGAAAAATTGCTAGAAATTACCCGGAAGTGCACATTTTCGTCTGCTTTGCAGCAGCGTTTGGAAATGAAATAGTTTTGTTCATGCCGTCGGGGGAATAAAAGAATCAATTCTCGCCTGACGGAGCCCAGGCCCTCAGCAGCACAATAGCAAGAGAGCAGCCACTTCCACACCTCTCCCTGATGGCGGGGGCGGGGTCTGCGTGTCCAGGCACCCACGTCCCGGGAGAGGGGGTGGCGCCTGTGCACCCTACTGCAGTAAACCAATTTCGCCAGCGTTATGTATCTGTCACTTACAATTAAAAGCATGAAAAATATTGGCTCTGAAATGAGTCTCGGGTAATATGATTTACACCAATGTGGGGACATCAGCGAGTATGTGAGACTGGACTGCAGTGTCCTCCAGCAGAAGGTAGAGTGGGTGCCTGGCTGTGGGAGCCCTGACTCGGGGTGCTCAGGGGAATAGTGCCCGGCTGCCAGACTACCTCACCCAGAGGCCTCATGTCCACGTAAGGTGAGGTGCACTAGTCTGAGACCTGTTCTCTGCACAGGCTTTGGGGTGCCTGCTCTCGGCCCTGGCTCCTGGCCCCCAGCCCTGTGCTCCCTCCACAGGCACATTAGGGGCTGTGCTGTGTGCTCTAGGGCTGCACTTTGGTCCTGCTGCAAGCCCAGGTGACTGTCACCTGCAGGGCTCAGACCCACCCTCACCTTGCTGGCCAGAGGCTGCAACCCTGGCCATCCTGATCCAGCCCGCCGGGGCCCCCTGGGCCTCTGAGATGTGTTGCCCTATGTGGCTTCTTCACTTGTCATCCACAGCTGCTCCTGCAGTCTCAGGTCCCCCTAGGCCCTGAGGGTCATTGTCCAGGGGCTGGCACTGCTGGAAGAGCCCCCAGGCCTATGGAGTGACCCTCCTTTCTCAGCCTGCACCCCTCTGCTCATGAGGGTATCTGGAGCCTGCTGACCCTGATGCTTAGCCCTGTCTCCTTGCCTGTCTGCTTGCCTGGGGCTTCGTGTTCTCTCTGCCCGCTGACCTCATAGGGATCCGCTCTGGCCGCATTCCTGCTGTTGGTGCCCACGCCGAGGCCTGCTCCACTGTCCCAACTCGTGCTGCTCCTCCTGCCCTGTAATTAGTGGCCAGCTGGGCGGGCGTGGCGTTCAGAGCCTGCTCTCCCACCCCAGGTGAAAGTCATGCTGCGCATCTGGCCGACACAGGGCGCCCAGCGTTCAGCCGAGTCTGCATCCTTCCTGAAGGTGGAGCCCCGGAAGAAGCAGGTGACCCTCTATGACCCAGTCGCTGGGTCCCTGGGGGGTGTTGGCCTCCGGCGTGCGGCCACAGTGGCGGTACCCAGGATGTTTGCCTTTGACGCTGTCTTCCCTGCGGACTCGGAGCAGGTAACGGCTGCATCTGGGAGCGGGGGAGAAGGTGTAGAGGGAGCCAGGTGGGTGCCAGGCCCCTGTAGACTCCACTAAGAAGCCCTGGGGCTGCTCTCCTTACCGTTCTGGGACGCGCTTTCTTATCCTGCACACAGGGCCACTTCTCCTGACCCCATGTGTTGCATGGCATGACCACGTCTTACGTATTTTATGCCATGTCTTGGTGTGTCTCAAGTGTGCCATGGTGCACATGAGTAGGCACAGGTGTGTGACGAGCTGTGTGTGCATCAGGTGTATCTTGAGGGGTGTGTGCTCATGTGTCTTATGTGCCATATATGTGCCATATATGCATTATGAAATGTGTGCTGTGGGGGTGTGCACACATGTCCTGCCACCAGCCCCGCGTGCCCCATGTATTCCGCATGCTGTCTGCACATGGCCCTGTGCCTGCTCCAGGGGCTGGCAGGCTTTGGGTGATAGGGCCGCAGGTGTGGAGAGGCTGGCCCCGCCCTGGCCCTGCCCATGCCTGCTGTCCCCCAGGCTGAGGTCTGCTCTGGATCCATGGCCGATGTGCTCCAGTCTGTGGTTGGTGGGGCTGATGGCTGCATTTTCTCCTTTGGCCACAGGAACCTTGGTGAGCGCTCGTGGGACCCCATTCCTGCCCCCTCTGCCACCTTCACTGTGGTAGTGGCCCTGAGGCTCGTGGGAAGGAAGATCATTGTCCTGTGGGCACAGGCTCTTTGTGAGGGGATTTGAGGCCCGAGGAGAAGGCAGAGGCCTGGATGAGAGCCCTGGGTGGGCTGGGGGTGGCCCCACAGGCCCGGCTGGGCTCCGAGGGCTCCTGTGGCAGCGGGTTGACTCTCAATGTCCTCTGGCCCCCAGGCAAGTCATACACCATGATTGGGAAGGACAGCTCACCCCAGAGCCTCGGTGTGGTGCCCTGTGCCATCTCCTGGCTCTTCCGCCTGGTGGAGGAACGCAGAGAGAGGACAGGCACACGCTTCTCCATCCGTGTCTCGGCTGTGGAGGTGTGCGGCCAGGACCAGAGCCTGAGGGACCTGCTGGCTGATGTGGCCTCCAGCAGCCTCCAGGATGCCCGGTCTCCGGGCATGTACCTGCGGGAGGATGCAGCGAGTGGAACGCAGGTGCACAGGCACTATCCTTCCTGGGGCCAGAGGGGGGGCCGGCTGGGGCCATGCTGGCCCCGAGACCCTAAAGCCACCATCCTCTCCACCTCCTGCAGCTGCAGAGCCAAAGTGAGCTGCGGGCGCCCACAGCCGAGAAGGCAGCCTTCTACTTGGATGCGGCGCTGGCTGCGCGCAGCATGCGGGCTGGCGGGGATGACAGGGCCCGCAGCTCCCACCTGCTCTTCACGCTGCACGTCTATCAGTATCGTGTGGAGAAGTGCAGCCAGGGGGGAAGTGAGTGCCATCTGCTGCCACTTCTGGGGTCCTTGGGTGCGGTTTCCCTAGCCACACTGTCACCACCGCCTTGCTTTCCAGTGTCTGGGGGCCGTAGCCGCCTGCACCTCATTGACCTGGGAAGCTGTGAGATGGCACCTGGCAGGGGTGAGGAGGTCGCTGGGGGCTCGCTGAGCCTGTCCCTGTCGGCCCTAGGCAGTATCATCCTGGCTCTGGTCAACGGGGCCAAGCATGTGCCCTACAGGTGAGTGCGGGCACTGCCGGTGGTGCCCAGGGTGAGCCCAGGGTGAGCCCAGGGTGAGCCCAGGGCTCTGGGGGCAGCGGGGCTCCCTCTCACCCTGACGGTGTCCCCCGGGCCCAGGGATCACAGTCTCACTGTGCTGCTGCGGGAGTCCCTGGCCACCACCAGCTGTCGCACCACCATGATTGCCCACGTGTCAGATGCACCAGCCCATCATGCTGAGACGCTCAGCACCGTGCAGCTGGCTGCCCGCATCCACCGTCTGCGCAGGAGGAAGGCCAAGGTGGGGCCCTGTGCTGCTGCCCAAGCTGCATGCCCAGGCTGCTGTATCATCGGCGAGCTCCATGCAGGGAGGGGTGCCCAGGTTCCCTCAGGTACCTGGTCTCTGCCAGGAGGGAGCAGGAAGCTGCACCTGAGTTCCCAAGTAGCACAGCTGGAGTTGCCTGCTGTGAGGTTGGTGGGTCCCCAGGCCCACAGCAGCCCTGGGGCAGTGAGTGGGATACTGGCACCACCCTGACAAGGCCTTCCTCAGCACATTTCACAGGGTGCGAGGGTGGATTTGGGTACCTTCTGGGGCTGAACTCCCTTGGGTCCAAGTCCCGGGTCTGCTTGGTGCACCATGCGGTGGTGGGCAGGGTTCTGTGCTGTTCCCAGCACTGGGCCAGCTGTACCATGTGGCCCCTGCCATGCTGATGCTCAGGGACCGTGCCATGGTGCTGGGGGGAGGGGCTGGGAGTGGGGCCGAGTCCGCTGGAGGTGGGCTGTGCTCACAGGGTCCCATGATGCCTTCCCCAGCACGCATCCAGCTCCTCTGGTGGAGAGAGCTCCTGTGAGGAGGGCCGGGCCCGCCGTGTCCCCCACCTACGGCCCTTCCATTCGCGTCAGACCCTGGATGCTGACCGCCTGGTGCCTGGCCTGCCTGGTGACCCTGACTACTCGTCCAGCAGTGAGCAGTCTTGTGACACCGTCATCTATGTGGGGCCAGGTGGAACAGCGCTGTCAGATCGTGAGCTCACCGACAACGAGGGCCCTCCAGACTCGGTGCCCATCATCCCCTCCCTCAGCCGCCGGCAGCCCTTTGAGGGCCCCCGAGATGCTGACCATTTCCGCTGCAGCACATTTGCAGAGCTGCAGGAGCGGCTGGAGTGCATCGATGGCAGCAGCGACAGAGCCCAGGCCAGCCCTGCCCGAGGAGGCAGGAAGACTTCGCTCTCCGAGGCTGCATCTCCCAGGAAGACCATGGGCCCGCCGATGGCAAGCAGCACCCCTCGAGGCCTCCCTGGCCCAGATACCCACCAGGGCATGCTCGAACCTTCCAGGGCTTGTGCCCAGGGTGACCAGCAAGAGGATGACAGCTCCCAGTGTGAGCCAGAGGCCCTGGACAAGGCTGTGGGGGATGGAGGCTGGAGGCTGCTGCCCAGCCCGGCCCCTCTAGCACCCAGGGGGCCAGACGCCCTGGGAGCCCCTGTGGAACTTGCAGGAAGGGACACTGATGGAGCGGTGCGGACACCCCCTGTAGGCACGAGTGGGCAAGGGCAGTTCTCGCTGGCCCCAGACTCTGTCTGCCCCTGTCCATCTGCCCGCGGCTGTTGCCTGGAGCGGGGCCTGCTGACCACCACGGTGACCCTGCAGCAGCCTGTGGAGCTGAATGGTGAGGATGAGCTGGTGTTCACAGTGGTGGAGGAGCTGCCCCTGGGGGCACTGGCGGGGGCTGCTCAACCCTCCAGTCTGGCCAGCTTTGGCAGCGACTGCTCCTTGCAGGCCCTGGCCTCGGGATCGAGGCCAGTCAGCATTATCAGCAGCATCACTGATGAGTTCGATGCCTATGCCTCCCAGGTTCCCGAGGGCCCCGGGGGACCGCTGGAGGGAGTGGCCGGGCCAGGAGGCAGCCCCAGCTCCTCTGTGGGCTCCTGGCTCAATGAGGTTAGCATCTCTGCAGCCCCCAGCCCCAGCCCCGTGCCACAGCCACCCTCCAGCCCTGATGCACCGGTGGGGCCCAGGCCTCCAGAGACCTGTGTCTGGGCCAGGTCCCTGGATGGGAGTGTCAGGTGTGCTGTACAGGCTGGGCCTGATGGTTCTGGCCCAGCCCAGAGTTTGGCCCGAGCTGGCCAAGAGCCCTGGGGCGGGTCCTCGCAGGGTGCTGCCCAAACCATCCACTCCAGCCTTCCCCGAAAACCTCGGACACCCTCTGCGACCAGCCGTGCGGCCTGCGCTCGGGCCGGCCGGAGCCCGCCTAGCCCTAGAAGCCTGTTTGGGGACCCATGGCTTCTCCGTGCAGATGACAGGGATGCCCCCAGCCCGACTGTGGGGTGCCCCCGGCTCCCCGAGATGCAGGCAGGGCCAGCTTATGCCCAGAGGGTGGTGGACAGCTATGCGGTGGTGGCCAGGGGAGCCCGCAGGCCTGAGGCTGTGGCTTGGGTCCCGCCACTGCGGCGGGGTGCCACTACCCTTGGGGTTTCCACACCCTCCTCGTCCTTTGGAGATGCTATGGCTGAGGTGGTTGCCTGCTCCACTGGTCTTAAGGGCTCCCCTGGCAGCAAGAAAAGCCTGGCTCCCAAGGGGGGGTTCTTCCTGAGACCCGGGGGTGTGGCCCCTCCAGCCCCTCCTGTACGCAAGTCCAGCCTGGAGCAAAGCCACCTAGCACAGGCCGCTGTCCTGGCCACAGGCCTCACCCAGGTGGGGGCCGCTGCCACCATTCGTGGTGAGGAGGAGGTCCGGTCCAGTGGTCGGGCTGATCATGCCATTCCTAAGGCCATGTCCAGCCTCAAGGCTCGGGCAGGAAAGATGGAGGCGACCCACCGCCCTGCCGGTCACATGTCCCTGGAGCGGTGTGAGGGCCTGGCACACAGCAGTAGCAAGGTCCGGGAAGGCCCTGGACGGCCACCTCGGGCTGTGCCCAGGCTGGGGGTGCCGCCTGCCAGTCCTACACCTGGACTACCCCCTGCCTGCCGAGGCAGCCCAGCTAAGGCCATGGGAGCCCCCAAGCCCCCAGCAGGTGGGACCAAGGGCCGCAGCCTTGTGCCCGGGGGCTCTCGGGCTCTGGGTGGGCCCGTGAAGCCTCTGGGGCCAGTGGCTGGCAGGCCCCCAGGTGGCCCTGGGACAGGTCCCCGGGCAGCTCCGCGGGCTGCATCTGGCCTTGGGGCCAAGGCTGGCCGGGGCACCATCATGGGCACCAAGCAGGCGCTCCGGGCTGCCCATAGCCGCGTCCACGAGCTGGCAGCCAGTGGGGCTTCTGGCCGAGGCAGCCCCTCATGGGGCTCCGCAGACTCAGACAGTGGCAACGACAGTGGTGTGAACGTCACAGAGGAGCGGCCACCCGTGGGCCCCGCACTGCCGTCCCCCTACAGCAAGGTGACGGCACCCAGGCGGCCCCAGCGCTACAGCAGCGGCCACGGCAGTGACAACAGCAGCGTGCTGAGCGGGGAGCTTCCACCTGCCATGGGCCGCACGGCACTCTTCTACCACAGCGGCGGCAGCAGCGGCTATGAGAGCGTGATGCGGGACAGCGAGGCCACCGGCAGTGCGTCCTCAGCCCCTGACTCCATGAGCGAGAGCGGGGCTGCCTCCCTGGGCGCCCGCTCCCGCAGCCTCAAGTCCCCCAAGAGGAGAGCCACAGGTGGGTGGTGCTGCCCTGTGACGGTCAGGCGCTCTGGTCTGTGCGTGTCCAGCATGCCCTTCTCTGATCCCTCGCTGCCCAGGCGTCTGGTCCTCAGCCTGGTCAGGCAGCCTCAGGCAGGGGCCTAGCTGAAGTCATGGGAGCAGGACTTGAGGGCTCGGTGTGAGCTGGGTCCCCTGTCCCCTTGAGTACTGCTGGGGTGACTGCAGTCTGACCTCTTCCTGACCCGGGGCACGGGGGGCCAGGAGAGTGTGAATAAGCCACATGGCACTTGGTGCTGCAGAGTTGTGTCCACAAGGGCAGCTGAGGTGCTTGTCGTGGTGAAGGTGGCCGTGTCTGGGACTTGGGGGACCAGGGTGCCTGGCCTCTGTTCACCTGCATCTGGTCTTCTCGCCCAGGTCTGCAGCGGCGGCGGCTGATTCCCGCCCCGCTGCCTGACACCACGGCTCTGGGCCGCAAGCCCGCCCTGCCTGGGCAGTGGGTGGACCTGCCCCCGCCCCTGGCTGGCTCTCTGAAGGAGCCCTTCGAGATCAAGGTGTATGAGATCGACGATGTGGCGCGGCTGCAGCGGCATCGGCTGCCCCTGAGGGAGGACCCAGCCCAGGTTCAGGTGAGGGGTAGAAGCTGGGAGCCTGGGATGGCAGAGTGGGCCAGTGGGGGTACAGCTGTGTACCCCTGACCACACTCCTCTTGTCCGCAGCCCTCCCAGGAACTGGAGAAGGTAGGGATGGGCACTGTGCCTCCTGAGCCAGCAGTGTTCCCCGGTGTCCCCTTGGAGGCTGCCTGCTCAGGTGGTGGGGGGGGTGGGGGGAGTCCCCAGGCCCGTGCCTGCCCATGCAAAGGCCTCCTGTGTGCCTGCACAGGCCAGCAGGGGAGGAGGCCTGGGGGTGCTCGATGTCCCCAGGAGAGAGCCCCCAGTTCCACACCTGAACCCAGCTGTCCCTGCCACAGGGCCTGGTGTGTATCAGCTCCAAGCTGCGGCTGGCTGAGCGAAGGCAGCAGCGGCTGCAGGAGGTCCAGGCCAAGCGTGACCACCTTTGTGAGGAGCTGGCTGAGACGCAGGGCCGGCTGATGGTGGAGCCGGGCCGCTGGCTGGAGCAATGTGAGTGTACCTGGCGCTCAGCCCCTATACCCAGAGCCTGCTCCCTGTCCCGGCTCTCTGATTGGCCATGTCCCCGCCCTGCTGCCTGCTCCCCTCTCTGCCTTCTAGCTGCTGTCCTTCAGGAAGTGGTGGGTGGGGAGGTGCCCTGGGGCCAGGAGCCTTCCCTGGGACTTCAGGTGGCCTGGTTGCCACCTGGGCCCGCATCCTGACTCTGTTCTGGCACTCCCCAGTCGAGGTGGACCCAGAGCTGGAGCCTGAGTCGGCCGAGTACCTGGTGGCTCTGGAGCGTGCTACAGCAGCGCTGGAGCAATGTGTCAACTTGTGCAAGGCCCATGTCATGATGGTCACCTGCTTTGACATCAGCGTCACCACCACCGCCACCATGCCAGGGGCCCAGGAGGTGGACGTCTGAGGCTGGGCGCCGGCACAGGAGGAGATGGGCTGTGCGGGGATGCGAGGATGTGAGACAGAGAGAGAATGTGCAGGGGTGAGGGGTGAAGATGCAGCGGGGGTCTGCGCAGGCCCAGGAGTCTCAGAGAGGGGATGCGGTGTGGGGGGATGGCCGGGGGCCAAGGATGGAGTGAGCGGGACAGGGAGAGCGGAGGGCGGTTGCCACGCAGATGGCTGCGCAAGTGCCTTTAACCTCGACTCTTCTACTTTTGTGTTTGGTGCTATGGGCATGCAACACCAGCAAGCGTGGGCTGGCCCGAGCTCAGGCGGCTGCCCAGCTGCCGTCCGGCCTCGCCTTTGTGCAGCAGGCAGTCTGCAGCAGGGTGGCCCTGGGGTCACAGCCCTGGTTCAGATCGGGTTCTTTTCCTTTGCAGTGGCTTCCTCTTGGCAGCGCAGGTGTCAGCAGTCTCCAAACCCTTCCGCCTGCAGCGGCGGGATCCTTGGAGTGGATGCTGTCCTTCCCTGACCACCTGCTCTGTCCCGAGGACGCTGAGGCCCCGGGCGAGGGCCAGGCCACGTGCACACGATGCCTTTTTCCACGGCAGGAATTCTTACCAAAACCACAAGCAAAAAAATCCACCACGAAACCAACCACCCTTGCCAGAGACAGGGTTAGGGGTTTTCTAAATGTTCTGTTAGGTTCCTATTTTTGTATCATTTTGCCTATTAACATGGAGTTTGCAGTGGGAATTTGAAAACAAATGATCTATGTTTTTATGGTTTTCTATGAAGGTGTTTGGGGCTGGGCTCTTTCTGGGGGTGCCCTGCACATGGTGGGTGTCCTTGGGAAGTGCGTGTCCCTAAACACAGACAAGGGAGGGCTTGCGGTCTGTGTGATGTCTGGGCACCACAGGCCTGCGTTTTCTGACTGTCGCGTTTTATAGGGTGTCTGAACCTTTGTACAAATGTGTAGATAACATCCTGCTACAGTTTTTACTTGTGAATAAAGAAGCATTGATTGTTCTCACGGCTCCCGGGCCATGGGCCCAGGAGGATCCTGGGATGGGGCGGGCAGCAGCGTGGGGCTGCACTTGCAGGATGACAGGGGAGGGAGTGCAGGGCAGGGGCTGCCAGAGGCAGCAGGTTCAAGCCCAGTTTTCTCCCCAGTCCCTGTGCCCTTTGTTCTGGGTGCTGCTAGGATTGCAGGGTGTGAGGCTGGAGGCTTTCCTGCAGGGTGTGACATCTGGGGAGACAGGCAGGTTGCAGTGACCCCTCAGGAGGGCCACGGTCTTCCTTTGTTCCCTACCTGCCTGCTGGGAGCTCTGCATCCCTGCAGGCACGTCAGGGCCCAGGCTCAGAGCTGGCAGGAGCCCCGCCCATGTGGCCAGCTCTCCAGGGCCCTGGGCCTGGCTCTGTCTTGGCTTTGCTTCACTGTCTAGACCCCAGTGTTCTGGGGGACGCTTTGCTTTGCAGGCTCACAGGGGTGAGCTTCCTGTGGTCTGGGCTCCCACCTCAGCCATGTCAGATGCTCAGTGTGTCTTGCTGAACCAGAGCTTGTCCTTTCAGCCTGTTTCTTGGTCCCTACCCACCCGCCCCCCAACCTGCTCTGCCTCAGCCCTGGCCCAGGCAGCCTCCGCGAGGCACCGTTTTGCTGCCGTTGTGTGCACCCTGTACTCTGCCCTCTTGGGAGCCGTGTTGGCAGCTCCTGTGCTCAGGACCCCAGGGCTTGCTCACCTGGGTGTCTTTCCCTGGCTCCAGGTGCCAAGTGTGGGCCCCCTCCCCTGCACCACACTTGTGTGGTCTCTGTCTCCCAGCCTCAACAGAGCCATGGCTCTGAGTCATGGATGGTCACATCCCATGTGGCACGGGTGGGCCGCCGGGGACCTGGGGCACTTGCTGAAGGACAAAGGTGAGGATGGAAAGGTGGCTGCACTTCCTTGTTTTTGCTGTCCCACATGTGAACAGGACACAGGAGCATCCAGGTTTGGGTGTGGCCTACAGCCATGGGTGGGTCCCAGGCCAACAGGGGGCAGCGCCTGAGCCCCTACCCCAGGTCTCCTGAGGTTTGGTTCCAGCAGAGCCCAGACTTGGAAAGGAGGAGATAGTTCTCAGCCAGCCAAGAGCCACCCAGGTGGCTGTCTGATGGAGGGCTTCGCTGGGGCTGGTGTGCCGTGGCAGAGCTTGGGGCTGGCGGGAGCTGCTCAGGGACCCACAGCACTGGCTTCTGCATCCGTCCTCCTGCAGAGACCCTGCAGGCCCCTCCTCTGTCTGGCCATTATCCCTCTATCCTTGACCCTACCCTGGAGGGTCCCCTAAGCTGGGGGTGCCTGGCCCTGGGGTCCAGCTAGGTGGACCCTGATTCCCATAGCCCAGGTGTCCCAAGGAGGGCCATGCCTGCTCTTCTGGACAAGGAATCCTCTGTCCCAGGACTGGCTTGGGAGCCTGTGCTAAGCTTTCATCTGGGACATCAAAGCCCTTAGCCCTGTCATTATAGGCTGAGAGACAGTGGAAGACCAAGAATGCCCATTTTATGGATGGGAAAGCAGGGGCCACCCAGGACCCAGGTCTTTGACTGAAGCCAGAGCCTGGGCAGCCCCTGTGCTGCAGCCACAGTGGTCTGTGTATATCCTGTGAACCAAACATTTGGGGAAACTAAGGCCCAGCCAGGGTGGGGTGCTCAAGCCCCCCTTCCTGTGTGCTCACCAGAGACGTGTGGAGGCCTGAAAGTGGGAGGGCTTGCCAGGGACGTCAAGACTGGGAAGGCCTGGGTGAGCGTAGGGTTGGAGGAGGGCTGGGCTTGGCCTGGGACCCTGTGCCGGGGGGCTGGGTGCCTGTCTAGGCCGTGGGGACGTGAGCGTGAGGTGGGATGGCTGGCGGCTCTCAGTCTCGGAGGCCATCTGGCCCTGGGCCACCAGCTCCTCTGGGGCGAGGTGCCTGCCTGACTCACATCAGCACGTCCAGGCCTGTCCTGCTGCCCTGCCTACTCCAGCCGGGCCCTGGGGCCATGTGGGGAGAAGGGGCAGGGGCTCTGGGGCCCAGTTGGGGGGGCTGCCATCCAGGCTGGGATGGGATGTTTGGATCGCTGGACCCTGCCAGCCTGAGGCCACCAAGGCCACGACCCAGAAGGTGAGAAGCTTCTCTTCATCAGCAGTGAGGAGGCTGGAGCCTGTAGGCACAGGGCCACATGGGGTTTTGGAGTGCCTGGGAGCAGCGGGTGCTTTGGGCTCAAGTGTCTGGTCCCGAGGTGCCCATTGCAGTGGAGGTGGTGACTTACTGGCCTGTGACTTAATGGCTGTGGTGGGCATAATAGCGACCATGGGATGGTGGTGGGTGTGGTAGCGCCAGAGTCCCGGGCCTGGTGACGGTGCCACGCATTCTGCAGCCTGGATGCCAGGACGAATCTCTTGCCCTCCTTCCCTGCTTGTGGCTGAGCCAGGAGCTTGGGGTGCCCGCTGCGGGTTCCACATCAGGAGCCAAGGATTGCTGCCCCGGTTGACGCCTCTCTGGCAGCTGGGGTGAGAGCCTCAGGCCTTCTCTGCAGCATCACCGCGTAGGTATGGCTGCTGGGCCTGTCTGCCTGCAGCCTCCCTGTCCCCTAGCTGTCGTCTGTGCATGGGTCCTGGGCCCCCTGGAGTTGCCTCCGCCTCCCACCCCATGTTCCTGGTGGTCAGCTCCCCTCCCCTCCTTCTCTGGGGCGTACAGTGTGGGGTGCAGACCTGCTGGCTGCTTGTCTCCTGAGACCTGAGTGTGGGGCCCTGGCTGGGATTTGCTCCAGCAAACAGGAAGCTCATGGGGGATGTTGCCCTCCTGACCCCGTGTCCGGCGCGGCACAATCCAGTTGTTTCCACATAGGAAGCCAGGAGGCTGGGAGGCTGGGAGGTGTCCCCACCAGGCAAGGAGGGGCTTCCTGTGGGCAAGGCTGCCATGGGGTGGACTTGGGAGGCAGCAGGGACTGAGAGAGAGAGCTGCTCGGAAGCCCAGCTGTCTGTGTCCAGGGATACCACAGTGGCTGCCCTCAGAGAGCACAGGTCACGATCTCTGCCGAGTGCGAAGAGGCTGGGGACAGGAGCCAGCTGGGGCCTCTGTGGCCTTGGGGGGGGTTCAGAAGAAGCGGGGCAGGGACCCTGGTCTTGCCCAAGGGCCACCCAATGCAGGTCCGGCTGTAGCTGGGAAGCCCAGGGCTCCCCCATGCCCTCCAAGTGTGGCCCTGTACCCCAGCCATGCCACATCTTGGCCTCTTGCCCTATTGCACATTTCAGAGTTGTCTTTACAAAGTTGACTTTAGGACAGGGTGGTGGCTTGGTGAGTGTGTGTGAGGCCTTGGACTCCATCCCCAGCACTGCAAAACCAAAACCAAAACTGAACAACAGAAAGGGAGCCTTTCTGCCGGCTGCCTCAGTCTCCCCTTCAACCTGTTCTCCCAGGACCCTGCCCAGGGTCCCAGCCAGGAAGAAGGGGAGCATTCGCCTCCAGCAGGGCAGGGGTGGGCCTACAAGGCTGGGAACCCTTCTCCTGGGGAGGTTTGTTGCTGCCTGCTTGCTGACATGTTGGGTCCTTGCTTGTGCCAGTGTAGACAATGGAGGCAGGTTGGTATCCTACGTGTAGCTCTCTAGCTCCATGAGGAACCCCACCCCATCCCTGGTGCCCCAGCAGTCTGTCCGCATCACCTCCTGCTGCCTGCACGTGTCCCCTCCCGGGGTCAGCAGTGCTGTGCATTGCCCTAACTGTCCTCCGCAGGCTGATGCCCCAGAGCCCACAGTCCTGGCCATCCTTCCTGGGGTCTCTAGCCCTCTGGGGACAGTCCCAAGGGTCCTGAGGGCTGTTATTGCAGGGCAGGGGGCTAATGTCTTCCAGCAGGTGGCACAGACCTCTGGTCCCTTTCATCTGGGCTTCGGGACAGAGGGAAGATCCTGCTCCTGGGGTAGGGACTGAGCCCAGGAAGCAGGGGCCACCTCCCTGGAGTCCCCTGGCCCCTCCAGACCCTCTGAGCAGGATACCTCTGACAGTGCATGAGGCCTCACCCTGTGCGAATGGCCTGGGACTGCCCGAGGCTGGGCTGCTCTCTTGCCTGGTGGCTGGTGCAGTGAAGCCCAGGCCAGTGAACTCAGTGGCCTAGAGGTGGCAGGGCAAATAATTGCTGGTGTGGCTGCCCCCACCTGGCCCTGGGGCTGGAAGAAGGAGCAGTGAAATGCCTGAGAACACAGGGTGGTACTGGATGAGCTCATCCAGAGCCGCCTTCACGCTGTTGTCACCATCACCTCAGAGCGCAAGGTCAGACAGGACGAGTGTCCTGGGCACTGGGCCTCCTGCTGGCGGCCAGCCCGTCTGTACAGCTGGCCATTCCCAGGGCATTCTGCAGACCAGGCCCGCAGAGGGCATGGAGTGGGTGGGCCCACTTGGGACACATCCCTCCTGAGGAGCAAGCCTACTGTTCACCTGGGGCCCCTGCAAACCTGGCAGGCAGGGACGATAGACTCTAGGAAAGGCCAGGTGTTGAGCTTGGGATGCCTGCTGCTCGGCAGATCCTCCCTGACCTGTGCCTTGATTTCCCTTCCTGTGGGAGAAGCAGCAGCTGGCTGTGCTAATGCCTGACACGGGGCCCTATAGCCTGGACTAAATCTCGCCCTGTCTCTAGCAGCAGCGATGTCGGGCTGTATATCTTGCAGCCCCAGTGCCTGTCCTGGGGAGCGGCTGCCTGGCAGGGGGTGGCGATCTAAATCCCAGGCCTGCACTGATTTGTGGGCCTGGTGGTGTGGTTGGCTCCTGGCATCTTTATGAGCAGAGGAGCCTGGGCTAGAAGCGGGACAGGCTGGTGTGATCTACAGCCTGGCGGCCCCTGCCTGCTGCCTCAGCTCCCACATGTGTCCTGGGCCAGGCCTGGGTTGGCTCTGGGCTGGACTGAGCTGAGGGCCTGAGGGCCTGACAGCAGCACACCTGGCTTCCTGGGTGCAGGGAGGTGATCTGGGGACTGGCCTGGAAGGTGGCAGGGCATCTGGACCA